TAACGGTAAGTCTCGTCATATACGTCGTAGACATAATACCGTTAAGCAACTGCTCTCAAGTGGAACTATTTCCATTGAATATATAAAGTCAAGAGATAACATTGCGGATTCGTTAACAAAAGGTTTGACGAGAGAGCAAGTTATGAGATCATCGAGGGGAATGGGATTAAAGCCTACCAGTTAAGAATCGACTTAATGGCAACCCAACCTAGCTGACTGGAGATCCCAAGATCTAGGTTCAAACGGACAACCGAATTAAGTATAATTCTCGAACATCACTAAGGAGGTAAATCTCTTACCCATTTCTATGATAACAAGTGATGTCTGCAACGAGAATTAGGATAAGTTTTACTTTTAAAGAAGTTTATATCTTGGAAAACCAAGTGGGGTATAGCAGAATACTCTTAATGAGCATCACCTATATGAGTACGAACTGGGCTGGTTCTATGAGAATGCCAAGGCTACATTCTCTAAGCACTCATGAAAACCAAGTACTGCCCAGGGCCAAAACGGGCACAACCGAAAGAACCAAGTTGTGTATGAAAACAAAACTGTGTGAAAGCTGTTGTCTTGGTTTACACTAACGGCAGAACAGTTGAAGATATCATGTTCACTGATCAACCAGTAAACCTGATAGTTTCTCATAAGGAAAGGTTCAAGGCCAAAAGCTGCCTATCCTATGTAGGATGTTTTCAGTTTTGTACTTTCTCAGGTTGCATGTTGTTGCATGTCCTTTTCGTCAATTTCATTCATGTTGAGGATTGTTGGAAAAAATGGTTTCAATGCTAATTTTTCAAAAACTTTATGCTAATAATTTTTTAGAACCCATAAGTCGGTTTGAAGGGTCCAAGTAGCAATGTGTTCGTTGCCATGTGCTGAACAAGATTATGAAATTAGTGAGTCAAAACCATTTATAGGTGAATGGGAAATTGACTCCAAAGTGAGGTTCATGAACATTAAGTCATTCCTCAAAATGGTGTTGATTGTTCTTGTCCCACATAGGAAAGTTAGGAAAAATATTCTCCAACATACGACAATAGATCATAATTAAATATCATAATAATTATAACAAAAACATATGATACACACTTTAAAAGGAGTGTGTATCTTAAAATTTTCTAAATATATTAGCCTCGCTTCCAACCCAAAACCAATGGGAAAAAAATGCACACGTGTATAGGTTGAAGAAATAAATAAGGGACAATTAGTTAACAGAGGGGACACGAAGAAAATATCACAAATCAATGAGGAATATTTTAAAATTTCATCAGCAGTGGCAAGTGTAACAATAATACCAAGACATGGTTTGTTTGTCTTTTTCCTCTCCTCACGTCACACTTTCTCTGTCATCTCTCTCTCGCATTTGACACACATCTACACATATATACACCCATATTCATACATATATAGTAGTGTTTTGAAAAGTTGGTAAAAAATTAATTTTTTGACTTTTTGGTGTAAAAAAGTCAAAAAAACTGACTTTTTTAACAACTTTTCAAAAGACCCCCATACACATTACAAATCACATTCACATCCATCTCATTTTTAATTTAAAATATATATATATATATATATATTATTTTACTTTAAAAATAATATATTTGTATGGTTGTCTCTGTTAAATACAAAAGGGTTTTTTATTGATAAGTCACATTTAGAGATGTTCTAACCCAATAAGTCCACTAAAAAAAATTATAACTTAATTAGTTTCATATAATTATACTTTTATTCCATGTGATTCTTTTTTCCTTATTTATATTTGTTGGATTATTATGCCCTTATGTCTATTATTGATGTACATTACATAGAAAAAAGATATACAAATTCTTTTTTGTTACTACCTCTATTTTGGTAGTTACCATTATTCACAATTTTCTTTATTGATTAGTTTCATTCACATTTATGTTATTGTTTCATTGTGCTAGGGATTCGAAACTCTCTATTTGATAGATTTTAGAAACTCTAGTTTACACATGGTGGTGAAATAATATTATGTTCCTTCGTTATTGTAGTGAAGTTTTGTGTTCCTCCATTGTCACTTTTGTTCAAAATTTTGTGTTCGTCCAGATAATGAATATACTGATTTGGGCTTAGACCCAATCCATTTATTGCTTTTGAGTCCGGGAAACCATATTCGTGATGGTCATTCTTTTCTCTTCATATTTGGTTTTGGCTTCGGGGTTGACACTGCCCTTGTTAGGGTCGACATTACCCTATTTTCTTTACTTTTCCTCCCTCAACATCTTCAACCAGTGACGTTGTTTATGTAAAGGTATCTACCACTCAAAGAAGAGGCATCTATTGGTGTCCTTTGTTGGAATTTATACCATATCCCGTCAATGCAAATGGAAGCACACAATGCACACACCAAAGAGAAAAACAATCACACACAGATTTACGTAGTTTAATCCAAATTACCTACATCCACATGAGAGAGAGGGAGGGAGAGATTTCACTATAAATAAAATAGAGAATATATATGAGATGAACAAAATACTCAAAACATACACTACTAACCGAACTTCATAATCAAGGGTAGTTGAGCCTTATGTTTTCTCTTGCCCTTTACATCTCTATTTTTCTCTCACCACTCTCTTAATCCCTCTCAAAAAAACCTTAGTGTACACATGACTATTTATAATAGTCTACCCATGATAATCCTAGTGATAGATGTAGGTCAGCCTGGTTTGTTGTAACTCTAAAATGCCGGTGATGAAGCAAATAGGGTGTGATAACATTCAGACCTCTTTGAGTTCCATACAATTAGGAAAATAATCCTACACATATTAGATTTTTTAGTAGATTATGGATTCCACTATCCTAACCCAAATAGATGTATAAATAACATAATAACTGTATAAAACTTATATTTATCACATGGGTGGATTAATTCTACCAATCACTTAAATGTTATATACGCACCTCCAACCTGGATGCCCGATTTACTTGACATACTCCACCTTTACCTAAGGAGAAAATGAAAACTTGTTTTAAAAACCAGTAAAAACAACTTTTTTATGTTTTTAAAAGATTTGAAAATTTTGAAATCAATTTTATTTTTTCTGAAAACGAAAACAATACAATAAAGATGTTTTCGTTTTCAATTAAGAAACTAAAAATGAAAACAAAAAACAAGAAACAAAAATGTTAACAAACAACTCTCAGTGTTTCCAAAAATTTTGAAATCAATTTTATTTTTTTGAAAACGAAAACAATATATACCAAACAATTTTAAATTTTTGTTTTCAGTTTTGAATTTTCAGAAAGAAAAAAAAAATGAAAACATAAATTGAAAACAAGAAACAAAAACGTTAACAAATGACTCCAAATTGATAAAATTAAAAACTCTTAATTTATTGAAAAAATTGATGAAAAATCCATTTTAAAAATGGTGTAAGGCGTTATGGGTAATTTTTTTTTTTTTTTTGGTGAGAAATACACTTTTTATAAAATATTGTGGTGAGAAGTACAATTTGTTATTTTAGAGGACATTTTATTTTCAATTTCACATTTTAACCTATCTGTTGAAATCTTTTTTAACATTTCAGTTCAAATTTGTATCTATCTGTTCGTCCTATCTATTCAATTATTTTTTCCCTATCTGTTGAAATTCAAGCTTATTTTTTCTTATCTATTGTAATTCAACAAGAATATTTTCTCTATCTATTGAATTTCATAAGTCTATTTTTTTCTATCTGTTTAATTTTTTATTTTTATCTGTTTAAATTGTGATATATACACATACATACATATATATAGAGAGAGAGGAGAGAGAGAGAGACTGATCTGTTCAAAAAAAATTTTATCTGTTCACTCTTAAATTTTTTTATTTGTTCATTGCTTGAAGAATAATCAAAATACAACCTGTAATTCCATGGTGAATTTCGGCAATTAGAGCACATCATAATATAATTTTAGAGAGAGAGATTTTCAATCGTTTATAACTGTCGAATAGAGAGATGAATTGATAAGCGATTCTGTTTCATCGATAGGTTTTATTTCCTCATTTCCTGATGAATTTGTGTGCCCTAGTTTCTTCATTTTTCCCAACTCTCACCACAACTCTTTCTCTTCCTTACACCGTTATTGCGCCGCCACCACCACAACCACTACAACCACTGATCACCATAGCCACCTTCGCTACCACTGGTAAGTTAGTGGTCTCTCGTTCTTAGTCTTCTTTTTCTTTCATCTTCTTCATTCTCTCTCATCTCTATCTTTTTCCCCTTTAGAAACCCTTCTCAACATCTCTTCTCTCTTTTGAAACTCCTTCATGAAATTTTCCCTTCATTTAGACTATTTCTGTTCTCCAAGACATGAATCTGAAGCACTTCTTTCCAAATAGATAATCAACAACATTTCAAGGACAACAATTGCCAGGCGTTTCGAAAAACTCCAGTTGGTTGAGAAACGAACCAGAGGATGATTCCGGTGGCGATGCAAGTTTGAATAATACTCCAGAGAATGATTTCGGTTCTAAGGAGGCAGTTAAGGAATTGAACACCAACGACATCATAGACCTTGTGAATGGAAGCATAATCGTCCTTGTTATAGAATTTCGTAACGAAAATAAAACCAACAAGGCTTTGCTCGTCTCTCTCTCTTCATTAGCTTCAAGCAATCTTCAAGAGAGATAGATTTATGGTATGAGTAGGGTGAACTAGTAGAGAGAGAGAGATAGTAAAAAGAGAAAGACATGGAAACATGAAATAGAATGGTAATTTTGAACAGATATAGGCATGGTTCTAAATAAATAAAAACCCGCGTGGATTTTTGGATTAAAAGAAATAAGAGTATTTTGGTTGTTTTGTCTAAGTATGTATATAGACTTTTGGACAAATAAAATTTGAATTTAGATTTATCAGCCGAGTATTCTAATTTATTTTACTACAAAACTCAAACTTTAATAATAAATAATTTTTTAATTATCCATTTATTTATTTATTAAAAAGAAAACTCACTAAATTCCCAAACAGACCCAAGTAGTGCACTTGTTAGAAACCCTAGTTAGTGGAACGGTGGGTGGTAATATAAATTGCTCGTTGGTGGTTCTTGTCCCATTGGCTGCTAGAGTGAAACCCTAAAGGAGTCTCAGCTAAGCCAAATCCAAAGCCATGTCTGACGAAGAGCATCAGTTCGAATCCAAGGCCGACGCCGGAGCCTCCAAAACCTACCCTCAACAAGCCGGTACTGTCCGCAAGAACGGCTATCTCGTTATCAAAAACCGTCCATGTAAGGTATATGGGATTGATCTGTATTTTAATTTTTTTTGGTTTTTTGTAAATAGTATAGTTGGGTTTGGTTTTAGATTTATGTTTGAAATTTCTGCAATTGATGCGGGTTAGATTATTTTGAGTTCTGTATTTTATTTATTTGGATCTTTATCTTCGTGCTTACTACTTGAACTTAAAAGTTGTAAAACAAGCCGGTACTGTCCGCAAGAACGGCTATCTCGTTATCAAAAACCGTCCATGTAAGGTATATGGGATTGATCTGTATTTTAATTTTTTTTGGTTTTTTGTAAATAGTATAGTTGGGTTTGGTTTTAGATTTATGTTTGAAATTTCTGCAATTGATGTGGGTTAGATTATTTTGAGTCCTGTATTTTATTTATTTGGATTACTACTTGAACTTAAAAGTTGTAATTACAGGCATGCCTGCGTGTATATTTGCTTATCCTGATTTCATTGAACCATCTAATAAATTTTTTTTTTTTGTTAAGTGATTGGTGGATAAGGTTATGCATATGGGTTTTGATGTTTCTGTTGATTTCATCATATATTTTTTATGATATTCTTTTTGGATGATTCAATTATGAGTAATGACATACAGATAAGAAATTGTTACGGAATGATATGGCTCAATGTGTACATTTCACTTTAAAATGAAATACCATGGAGATGCTTTCATTTAGAAAAATAACATTAGCACATCACTCTTGTGGGTTTTTTTTATATATGTGTATATATATGTATATAAATCTTCTATATGGGTAGAGTTTTCCTTTAATTTGCCAACAGAAAAGGTGATATAATATTTATTTAGTTATTCAGTGTCATTAGTTATTTGTAATTCTTGGATAATCCAGTACCCAGCCTTGTTGAAAAGATCTTGAGTGGTTGGTTTTGATTTTTTATGATTCTTTAGTTATTAGTTATTTCTCTTTTTATTGTGTTTGGTTTATGGATTTGGTAAAGGGGGAAGGGAATTCTTATCATCTTTGGATAAAATAGAGAAATTATATCTTGAATGGTCTTGATTTTTTCTTAACATGAGAATGTGAGAAATTTTTAGTCCTGAATCTTATTATTCTCCTTCTATAAGGGGACTGGGAAGGGTACACTTAAATTATAATTGTCTCAATCTATGTTTTTCATGTATGTGGAGAGGATAAGTTTTAAATTGATTGAGAAAGGGATTTGTAATGTTTGTAATTGGATATTATTGAGGTATCATGTAAAAAGCTTATGTGATGAACTAAAATAGAGCTTTGTTTATATTTGTGACCAAGGATGAGTGGAACATGCAATCTAGGATCTGCATTGAAGATAATCTGTTGTCTATGTCTGTTTTTGGGCTTCTTGAAGACAAGACATATCCCTTGAGGTGCTCTTTGCACTTTGGTGCAGGTTTTATAAAAATATTATTAGTGCTTGTGATAGAAAAAGTAAAATTGTTTGCAATGGTAAAATATGGGACATACTTAAATTAAAAGGGTATATTAAACGGACCTCCCATGGTAGATGACAAAAGTACATCTGCCTCCATTGTATGAGATAATTACACTGCACTCCACTCAAACAAGATAGACATTTATGGAGTTAACAGGAGACGTAAAATGACAAAATTACCCTTACATTTATGGAGTTAACATGAGAGTTAACCGGAGGAACTCTAGTGGAAGGTGGTGTTGTGAAGGAAAGGTAGGGGAGGGCAGTTGTGGGAGGAGATAGAAGATGGATTTGTAGGAGAGAGGAATGCAGAGAGAGAAGAGGGAAGGCTTGGGACTGGGATCTAGGATGGATTATCGTGGGTGGTGGGCAGTGTTTTTAAAGGCTCAAGGCGCACTGAGGCTCTCGGGGCCTAGGCGCAAGGCGAGGCGCGGGTTTTATTGAAGCAAGGCGCACAGTCTAAATAAAAAATAAAAAAATTAACATAGACTAATCATTCATAGTACTAAGAAAATTTTTTTAAAAATAAAAAGTAATCAAGATTCAAGACAAAATATAAAATAATTCTCAAAGCCATGAAAGTGTATATTACATAACATTCCAATTTTCAAAGATAAAATAATCCGCATTCAATAAAATAAAAATAAAAACAAAAACAAAAACATAATCCAATTTTCAAAGATGAATTAATTATTTGTAATTTTTTTTCCCTAACAGATAAAGAGAAAAAAAAGACCAATAGCACATTGTATTTATTAATTATTTGTGAATAATTAATTATTTGTAACTTTTTTTTCTATGTATTTTTTTAGTTAATTAATCAGAATCAAAATCAGAATCTATTTTTTTCCCCTAACAAATAAAGGAAAAAAAAGACTAGTAGCACATTGTATTAATTAATTATTTGTGAATAATTATTTATTTGTATTTTTTTTTCAGTGTATTTTTTTTAGTTAATTAATCAGAATCAAAATCTATTTTTTTCCCCTAACAGATAAAAGAAAAAAAAATTGAAAAAAAAGGCGTAATTGAAAGGCATAATCTATTTCAATCAGAAATCAGAATCTATTTTTTTAGTCTATTTTTTTTAGTTAAATTATTTGTATTTGTATTTTTTTTTCTAACAGGACTCGGGCATAATTGAAAAAAAAAAAAGAAAAAGAAAAGGGCAAAGTTGAAGAAGTCGAAGTAGAAGAGTCAGAGTTGAAGAATCGAAGGAGAGAGAAGTCGAAGCCAGAAAAAAAAAAAAAAAAAAAAAAAAAAAACAGAACCGAAGAAGAAGTCGAAGAAGACGAAGTCGAGCAGCAGCCCAGAAGAGGAGAAGAAGAAGTAGAAGAAGATGGCGAACATACCTGCGAAGTCGAAGAAGAAGTCGAGCAGCCCAGTCGAAGTCCAAGGCGAGGCGAGAGAGGAAGAGCCGACACAGATTAGGGTTCATTTGAGTCGTATTTGCGTCGTATTGTACATGAGTTGTAATCCTCTGTGGTTAAGAGCCATTCGAACACACCCCCGCAGCCGTTAGATCAAATCTGTGGTTAAGAGTCATTCGAAAAATCAAGCGCGCCTAGTCGTGCGCTTTGCGCCTCTATCGCCTGGTTCGAGTCGCGTCTAAGGCGCGCGCCTAACTCAACTCGCCTCGCCTCGCCTGGGACCTGTCCAGGTGCAAACACTGCGCTTCGATTGGCCTTGCGCCTAGGCGTGCTTTTCACAACACTGGTGGTGGGGAAAAGGGTTGGTAGGGTTCATTGAAGGTGGTGAAAAGTGTTTTTTGGTTGATAGTTGTTGTAAAGAATTAGTTTGGAAATAAGGGTAATTGGTTTTTGAGAATGAACAAAAGAGCAGTTATTTTGACATTTTAGTTCAATAGTTGATGATGTCATCATCTGTCATCCAATGGATAAATAGTAGACTAATGGGAGGATGATAATTGTTACGCAACTCTAAACCTCAAGGGAGGTCGGTGTAATTATCTCATACTAATGGGTTAGGTTTATTTTCCAACTATTAGGGAAGGTGCTTGTAGTTTACCTAAATTAAAAAATAAATGTTAAAGTTGGAGCGCGAAGTGTGATGCTGTGGTTTGTTCCGAGGAGCAACTTCTTTGTGCAATTAATGTAAGATTAGGTCTTTATCAAATGTTTACACTTCCCAACACCCTTAATTGACGTGGACATGAACTGCATGCCATTCTTTTTGGGTTGACTTTTGAGGTTTTGTTTGCTGTCTCTCTCTTGAAGTGATAGATTGGATTGAAAAACCTCTGCCTACTAGTGCTTTCAAAGGAAGCCGGTCACTGGTGGCGTCAAAACCTAGGATTGTAGAGTGTTACATTTAACTTGAGTCGCTAGTAAATGTTTGATATGATTATGCCTCGTGGTTGATAATTGGCATTTGTATGTCATTGTTGGTCTTACCCTTGATGATGTTGGTAATAGTTTAGGGTGCACTATTGCAACATGAGATTGGTTTTTTTTTTTTGAGCTAGTAGTTAGACGTTTCTCGACATCCTAATTGGAAAAATTGTTGAATGTGTAGAAAAGGCATTGTAGGGCATATTTGGAAGAACAATTGCCCTTGTTTGTAATTCTTTAGGTTAACGGCCATACTAAGAATCTAGGCTAGATGTTTTTTTTTTTAAGGGATCAAGAGGTAATTTGGCTTCCAAAGTGAAGCTTAAAGTAAAGGCATGCTCTCCTATAATAAAATGCAAACAATACGTCCAACTTGCTTGTGCTCAATGATAACTTGTCCGAAGCATTGGATTTGTCCAAAGGTGTTAAAATGCAATAGGTCATCCTTTTCTTATTTTAATAAATTGGAGCTCTAAGTTTAGTTCAAGTTTGTGATTTCTTCTAAATTATGAGGAAATGTGTTGTGTGATGCAGAAATTTTCTAATTAAATCTAGAGAACTTGAAAGAGAAATTTGGATTAGCAAGGAAAAAAGTTTGTAATTGATGTTGTGTGTGCCATCTACATCATAAATAAATTCGGAAAATGTATGTTTATGACTATATCCATCCTCAACATCTAAATGGTGTTTGGAAGTGAATACAGTCTCAGTAAAGCTTTTGAGAATTCTAAACATGAGATAATGAATGAAGTTCTACTATGCTTCTTTTGAGTTTTTTAAAAACACTTTTCAAAAAATTCTTTTCTTATTTTTCGTATTTTTTTATTTTTACTGAATTTTTTTAATATTTTAAGCAATTTTTAAAATTTTTAGACACACCTAACATAAATACACTTAAAAAGTATAATTCTTGTGAAAAAAATCTTTAAAATATTCACTAAATACCAAAAATACAAAAAAAAAAAAAAAAAAAACGAAAATTCAATACATTTTTCGTATTTTTGTGTATTTATTAATTTTTTAAAATATTTTTTCACAAATATTTTACTTTTTAGACACATCTAAGTATGATGCATCTAAAAAAGTAAAAAAAAATACTTAAAATTTTAAAAATATTCACTAAAAACAAAAAAAATGACAAATAAAAAATTCAATTTTCAAAAAACTTAATTTAAAAAACTCAAACCAAACACATTGATTGGTATTTAGTATTGAACTACAAACTACTAATAAAGGAAAATTACTTGATTCTCACACAAAATCATAATTTAATTATAATTTTGATACATATCATAGCAAAAATTAAGAAATAAATTGATAGGTATAATATTTAGTAGTTTACCAATTGGATTGAGAAAATCTTGCTTCAAGTAGACAAGCTGTTGACAAGATCTGATATTGTTCTTTCAATGCTACACTATTTATCCAATATTCTCTTCAATTTTGCATGCATTTGTTGAATCAGACTAAGATCAGTTATTTTTCTGCTGATGATCTCTTTGGGTGAATTGTTGAACAGGTTGTTGAGGTTTCTACCTCGAAAACAGGCAAGCATGGACATGCCAAGTGTCACTTTGTAGCCATTGATATATTCAATGGCAAGAAACTCGAAGACATCGTCCCATCATCCCACAACTGTGATGTGAGAGAGCCAGCCAGCCTTTTTCAGATTCTTCTCTTTTCCTTCCGGATTTCTGCTAATGCTCTGAAATGGCACACATGCATAATCATAGCTTTTGACTCCTTTTATATTCTTTTACAGGTTCCTCATGTTAATCGTACTGATTATCAGCTGATTGATATTTCTGAGGATGGTTTTGTAAGTGGTTTCTTGTGAAAGCTTTGATTTTTTGCAATGTGAAACATGTTTTACTACTAATGGACCACAATGGATTTATCATTGGGGAATAAGAGTACAATGAAATGTTATCTGCTATTTGGTTAACTGGAATGAGATGGAAGGGTCATTTCTTAGTCTTCCCTATGGAATGATCTTTCCGTTACAATGGTAAATGATATTCCATTTGCAATGCATTTATTATTATTTTTTTAGTCAATCAAATATGGGAATGGATATTTTGATGGAATGATAATTCCATTTCACTTTATTTTAATGAACTAAACACTACCCTATTGTGTCGCCTTCGGAAATTTAGACTTGCTACGACTATTATTATTATGAGTATATTTGAGAATGGGTAGGAGTAATATCAATAGAAGACAAGTTGAGAGAGAATAGATTGAGATGGCTTAGGCCTCGTTTGGCAAATGGCTATTTTAGCCAAAAAGTCAAAAAGTTAATAAAAAAATCAAAAAGCCAACAACCTATACCAAAAAGTCAAAGATTCCCTTTTCTCTCTACTTTTTGCACATCTTTTCGTAAAAAATCAAAAAGCTATCCCAAACATACTAATTTTTTTTACATCATATTTTAGTTAAAAAGTCAAAAAGTTACTAAAAAAGCCTGTTCCCAAACGAGACCTTAGTCTTATACAACGGAGATTAACAGAGGTAGTAGTGAAGAGATGCGATACAGTGGCGGTAGATGGAAGTATTAGGGGAAGGGGTAGACCTAAATTAATGTGGATTAGTGTTGTAAATAGATATATGAATCTCCTTAACTTGATTAATGAAATGACCTTGGATGGAGTCAAAGTGGAGAAGAAGGATTTATGTAGCTGACCCCATTTGATGAGACATAAGGCTTGGCTTGGTTTGGTTTGGTTTAAGTAATGTTAACACTTAGATAGTGTTTGGTTCATTGGAATGAACCAGAATGGAATGAACATTCCATCAAAATGTTTATTCCCATGTTTGGTTAGACTAAAAATATAATGACAAATGCATTACAAATGGAATCATCTTTTACTATGTTAAGGGAATGATCATTCCATAAGAAAACTTAAGGAATAACCATTCCATTCCATCTCATTCCAATGAACCAAATGGTGTTTGTAATTCTGGAAATTTCCCTGGTTTTACTAGTGCATTGGCCAAGAACTATTTGTGTTTGTTAGAAATATGTAAGATTTGGAGTCAGGTTTTTTATAAATTGTAATCTGACTAAATTTTGATCTGCAGGTGAGTCTTTTGACTGAGAATGGTAACACCAAGGATGATTTGAAGCTTCCCACTGATGATAATCTGCTGAGCCAGGTGCATTATTTATAATCATGTCTCATGCCACTGCGCAAATTGCATTTGCTTAGGAATGTGGTGGTTGTAAAATTATGGATTTACCACACCCGCAACCCAGCCCCCCATTTTTACTGGTGCTTGTTGAAAGTTAGAGAAAGTCATGTGCATAGTTGTCAAATCGATAATCGTATCTTGATTCAAAATCTTAATTGTACAAATCGTGAATCATATCGAATCGACAAATCATAATATTTCTGTTATTCTCAACAATTCTTAATATTTTTATTATTAGAATCTTATGATTCACGATTCGATTTGCATTTTTTACAAAATCAATACGAATCTATTTTGGAAGTGAATCTCTAATGAATCACACAATCCACAATCGATTCACGATTCAATTCACTTTTTACGATTCATGCAATTCTTGAAACTATCATGTCTGATATATTTCGATTATTTTTTTTTCCAATTTTTTTTGTTGTTGTTGTTGTTGTTGTTGTTGTTAAAATGACATAATACAATTTGATATGATAGCCTAATTTGCATTCCTGGCGTAAAAAGGAATATTTTGCGTATGGTCTAATACAATGCATGGGAGTAAAAGTGGCTTGTGAAATTTATTAGTGCAGTGCAATTGTTATTAGAAGGGACACTTGCTTATTTCATGACAGTTATTGTGTTCTTAACTTATTTATTTGTCTTGTGGTTTGTGTGGTCAGATTAAAGATGGGTTTGCTGAAGGGAAAGACCTTGTTGTGACAGTTATGTCAGCTATGGGAGAAGAACAGATCTGCGCCCTGAAGGACATTGGCCCGAAGAACTAAAATTATTGGGTTCTGTTGTATAATGTCTGCTTACAGCATGCATGGGATGAGCTCACCACAAATATGTTGCGTGGTGCCCTCAATTGCATAGTTGAAGTTATGGGTATGAACCTCCATGATTTTTAATTTCTGGAGATTTGGTTGGGGTCTCTAGACAGAGTGCCATATTACTATATGGTGTGCTTAAGTAGTTATTTATTTTAATTTTTTTGGGGTTGTGTGTAAGATACTGGTTTCATTTTGGTGGTGTGTGTTTTTCTTGACACAAGTTACATTTTCCGTGCAACTGAATTGTATTTTAGAATATGAACTGTGAAATCTCAATTTTCTTGGCAAATTGTCTGGTCAAAGAGAAATGATGTGAAGGGCGGCAGACATTAGAACAAGGGGAAATTGCTTAACAGGTTATTTTTATTAAAATAATTATAGATTAGTGAAAAACTTTATCAATATTAAGAATTAGAATCATAAGTTTTTCAATGATTTTGTAATTATTTTTCTGACATTCTGCTGTTTTGTAATTTTCCCTTAGATTGTTTGAAGGAGATTTGTGAAGATCATAGAATGTTTATACCACTTTTGAAGTCTTAGACCTCTTGCACAGGTTGCTAGTTTGAAATAACATTGGCTAGAAGAATATTGCAAATCATGCAACCCTACTATTTTAGTAAATTTTAGATGACAATATGTAGTAGATTCGGTGGTGGATCAGCGGGGCTTTGAAGTATATAGAATTAGCTAGATCGTCTGAAGCATGAACAGAATCGCCTTTGTTCCAAAGGCCTAGCGAGTTAAGCGAGATCCTTTTTTTTTTTTCAAAGGCATTCTTTTTTTTTTTTTCCCCAAAGGCATTCCTTTTCTTTCCCCGGACCGATGACTCGCTTATTCATGGGGACTATATTTCGTCGATGGCACATCCGTTTGTAGTTTTATTGTCCTTTTTTTAAGCCACTAAGCCTCTGACTTTTGTATCTTTATTGTCTTTTTTTTAAGCCACTAAGCCTCTGACTTTTGTATCTGCTTTCCAAGCCTCTTTTTCCGCTCCTCTAAAGAAAAGAAGTGAGTGATTAAAAGGATCGGTATGGAACCGTTTGTCCCTTGTTTCCCGAGTTAAGGTCTGTACAGATTCATTGAAGTTGGCTGCTGAAAGACTGGTCAATCAATTACTAAGTCGGTAGCAGCTAAACGCCTAAGTAGTAGCCGGGCAACAAGTACCCTTTACAAACAAGGAAGCCAGTCGTTAGGGTAGCTAGAGTGGCTAGCATCTAAGGAGTCTATTATCTCAGGTAGCCAATAAGAAAGAGTCTGTAGCTAGATTCAATAGAGGGACTTCCATTCTCTACTGCTTCTCTGGTTGGTGCTTCTATCGAGGTTGGCCTCGAAGTCATTGCCTTTCCAGGCACTGGGAGACAAAGAAAAGAAGGCTCACTTTGGTAAGAGGTGAGTGGATAGGTGGGGAGTAGGAGGAATCAGTGAAGTGCATTACTCCTGCCCCTGAGGATGGAATAGATGTACAAGAGGAGAGCCTTGAGTGCTTCCGAACTGGAAGATTATAATTTTATTACCTGCTAATTGGGACCTATAAGAAGTGGACTTTCCTTGCTTTCTTTTGTCACAGTAGTTGGAAAAAGTCAAAGCAGCAGACCAGTAGGCCGATTCTAACCAAGCTCTTTATTAATTGTGGTTTTGTGGTGTTGTTGGGGGACCTGTGTTTTAGCGATGCATGGCATTAACCAACACAAGCTGATCATAGGTTCTAGCTTTGTCGCAAGTGATGTACACTGCCCTTGGCTTAAGGTACATCTGGAAGGCCTCCACACAAACTTGGATGGATCATTATGTTCGGGAGGAGATTGTTGTTCGTGGGCAGGTATAGCCCGTGTTAAGCGTAGCAATTGATCAATTGTCCCTAGTTTGTACCTATGTTGAAGTTGGATAGAGGAGTTTGTTGGCGATAGGACATCTTTATTTCTATCTCCTCTACCTTTTTGGTTTTAAACGTGTTTTACTAATCTGCAGCAGCCTCGCCTCCATTGACAGACTACAGCCTCTCTTGAATTTTCTAGTACACCGGTTGATGATATTTTACTGCATCTTTCCATCTTCTACTTGGTCCATTCCTCGTTTGTGTTGACTTTTCTTATATTCTTGTTTACTTGATTCTTGGAAGAACAAATTATTGAGAGCGGGAGAGATCGATCCAAGGGGGTTTGTAAGTTTATATTTCTACATTTTAGAGAGTTGGACTTCCAATTCCACCTATGGTTTGGGTGTCTGGAAAGAGTAATCAGTCTGTCATGGAGTTTTTGTGTGGTGACTTGTGTATTGTTCTGCTACTACTGCATTGGCCTACTGCTGCTTGCATTGAGGCTTCGAATGTTACCAGACTTCGTGTTGAGACAAAAAGTGCTTGTACAAAAATTGTTTCAATTTGATCCCTCATCTAAATTTCGACAATAGAGGCCGCTAAAATCAACTATAAATGTGTAATTTTATATATTCAAATTACACATATCACATATTTTGAAGACTAAAAGTAAAATTTTAAGTGAGGTTTTATTTAAATGACACATACATAAGTGTAATTTTTTTAGTGGATTTTTACATTTATCACTGATTTTAACGTCTTTTGACGAGGTTAGTTTAGTGGATTAAAATGAAATATTCCTAAATTACACTGATTTCTCTTGAGATTTGAAGAATATATAGTAAATTTTACAAGTTTGGCATAACTATATTGAGCTCTCATAAAGTTTTAATTCATATAACATTTAGTTTCTTTTTCATAAAAAATTTGGTAGTCTTACAAATGAAAAAATTATTTTATCATTCTTTTTACGTTGAAATATATATTTACCATGTGTATCTGTGTTTTCGCATCAGCATTATTTTGATCTCTTTAATCTTACCTTACTAAAAGGAATGTCAAAATTGAGGAACTTGTATTTTCTCCAAATCTCAAAAGAGGTCAGTGTATAATCTACCATCTTTTTTTATTTATTTATATATATTGAGGCCAAATTAAAATATTTTTATGCATTGAGAATTAAATTATAACAATTTAAACATTTGAAATCAAAAATACATAAATTTTATTATTTAAAAACTAAAAATCTAATTGAAAATAGTCCTCTCCAAACTCAATTTAATAAAATAAAATACGATAAATTAATATTGATGATGCAGTTCGTCCTGGGTGGATGGATCGGGCTGGTCCAAACTCTTTAAGTTCCGATTCAGGCGAGTGATCCCACCAGATGACCTGCAAGCAAGTCCGAAGGGGAACGGGGTAGTCCCCCAGTGAACCCTCCAGCGAGCGAATCAGTAGAGGAAGAAGGAAATATAGAGAGAGAGAGAGAGAGAGAGAGAGAGAGAGAGAGATAGAAAAGCTTAACCTTCCCCTTGTCTTCGATTCTTGCTTATATCCTTTGGTAATCATTTCACTGTCCCTTGTGACGTGCCCCCTTCCGCCGAAAGCCTGTGCCGTAGCTTACCTTGTTCAGGGTGAGGGGGCTCTGTTCCGACGGGGAGGTGTTGTCGTAATAAATGCTGTGATGGGCTGCATTAATGGTGATGTGTTATGGCAATAACTCTGCAGATCTTTGTCTGCTGATGTGGCCTGTGTCTCATCTGTCATGTGTCCGAATGCCCTTGGCCCTCCACGTCCAGGTGGACCAGATGACCTGGAAGCAAGTCCAAAGGGGAACGGGGTAGTCCCCCAGTGAACTCTCCAGCGAGCGAATCAGTAGAGGAAGAAGGAAATATAGAGAGAGAGAGAGATAGAAAAGCTTAACCTTCCCCTTGTCTTCGATTCTTACTTATATCCTTTGGTAATCATTTCACTGTCCCTTGTGACGTGCCCCCTTCCGCCGAAAGCCTGTGCCGTAGCTTACCTTGTTCAGGGTGAGGGGGCTCTGTTCCGACGGGGAGGTGTTGTCGTAATAAATGCTGTGATGGGCTGCATTAATGGTGATGTGTTATGGCAATAACTCTGCAGATCTTTGTCTGCTGATGTGGCCTATGTTTCACCTGCCATGTGCCCGAATGTCATTGGCCCTCCATGGCCAGATGGCCTCCAGCTGTCCTGGGCTTTTCCAACGGGGTTATGCTATGGGTCCCAAGCGATGGGTTTGGGGTTGTTTGTTGTGGGCTGTAAGCCTTATGAGCCTATCCATGTCAGTAGTCCCCCATTTCCGAGTGCAGCTTTAGTCCAACGAAGGGAATAGTAATAAGGAAGAGAAATGCGAACCGGGTGGAGAGGCCGACCGGTAGGCGTGCCGACCGCAGGGGTGACCGAGCGGGAGGGGTCGACCGTTAGGCATGCCGACCGCAGGGATGGCCGAACGGGAGGAGCTGACCGTGAGCGTGGCCGAGCGGGAGGGGTCGACCGTTAAGTGGGTTGACTGCAGGGGTGGCCGAGCGGGAGGGATCGACCGTTAGGCGTGCCGACCGCAGGGGTGGCCGAGCGGGAGGGGTCGACCGTTAAGCGTGCTGACCAGGACGGCGCGGGGCTCAAAAAAAAGAGGGGGGGCGTGCCATGTGATGATGTGAAATGGAAAGGATAGGGTAAGGGGAGGGGACAGTGCATCGTGGCCATACACGTGGTAATATCGTGGGGGAAGTGAAGCGTTGGAGCAGAAATGAAACGATAGGTCACGAGTGGGGTTTTGAAAAGGCGGCTTTGGCGGTTGATTTGAAAGGTTTTGAAACGGGCGAAAATTAATGCGGATCCACGGAATACGGGTAAACCGTGGGGTGTTGGTATAATGCGTTTCAACTACCTGTGTACAAAAACCCAAAACATTTTCTCAACTTCCTTGCTCCTGCGTCAGAAGTGATTCGTAAGCAAACCCTAGAAATGGCACAAGAAGGAGTGGTGAATGTGAGGGTGGACCCTCTGGGAGATGATGATGCAGAGGAGCTAGCAACGCGATATAGGACGGAGACACGAATGGTGGAGGTAGGGGAACTGGTGGGACAATCGCAGGCGTCGGCCCTGATATTGGCTCCAAGGCCAATAAGCCAGGTAGAGCCGGATCAGTGGCACACGAAGGCTGACAAATCCACAATTACTGCGGCGGATTTGGAGGCTATCAGGGAAAAATACCAGATTCTGGCTGAGGTGGAGTTATTGCTGCCAACATCAAGGGAAAGGCCGTCTGATGCCAGGCCAGGAGAGTTTTCCCTTTACGAGGAGGCGCTAAAAGGTGGACTGAGGTTGCCACTGCCCCAAGTGGTGGTTGACGTACTGAACCGTCTGGAGGTAGTGTCGGGGCAATTGATGCCCAATGCATGGAAGATTCTGCTGGCTTGTGCTAGCGCGTGGCCCAAGGCGAATGG